ACTCCTCTCGCTCACCCTCTCCCTCTCTTCTTCTCCTCTTACTTCTTGCTCACCTCTCCCTCTACTCTTCCTTCTCACTGCCCTCTTGCTCACGACCTCTCCCTCTCTCTCTCCTCTCACTCCTCTCGCTCACCTCCTCACCCTCTCTCTCGTCACGTCCTCTTGCTCACCCTCCCCCTCTCTCTTCTCCTTTCAACTCCTCTCACTCTGCCTCTCCGCCTCACTCTTCTCCGCTTCGATCTCGCTCCACAACAGGGCCTCATCCGCTCTCATCTCCTCTCGCTCGACGCCTCTCCCTCTCTCTTCTTCCTCTACTCCTTGCTCACGCTCTCCCCTCTCTCCTTTCCTCTCACTGCCTTGCTCAACCCTCCCCCTCTCTCTCGTTCTCCCTGCTCAACTCAACTCTCACTTACCTCTCCCCTCTCCTTCTCCTCTCACTCCTCTCACTCGCCTCTCCCGCTGACACTCTTCCGCGCTCTCTCGCTCACCCCTCTCCGCTCTCACTCCTCTTCGCTCACCTCTCTCCTCTCTCTCTTCTCCTCTCCAAAACAGTCCTTCTCATCCTCTCCCCTCTCTCTTCTCCATCATCACTCGCTTGCTCACGCCTCTCTCCTTCTCTCTCTCCTCTCACTGCCTCATCACTTACCCTCTCCCCTCTCTCCTTGCTCGCTCTGCACTCCTCTCACTCGCACCTCTCCCCTCGACTCTTCTCCGCTCTGCTCGGCTCAACCTCTCTCCGCTCTCACTCCTCTGCGGCTCACGACCTCTCCCTCTCTCCTTCTCACTACTCACTGCTCTCACATCGGCACCTCTCGCGCTCACTCTTCTCCGCTCTCCGGTGTCGCTCAACCCTCAGACCTCTCCGCTCTCACTCCTCTCGCTCAACCACCTCTCGCCCCTTTCTCTCCCTCCTCCGTCCTTCCTTGCTCAGCCCTCTCCGCCTCTCTCTTCTCCTCTCCATCCTGTGCTCAACCCTCTCCCCTGCTCTCCTCGTCCTCCTACACTCCTCTTGCTCACCCTCTCCCCCTCTCTCTTGCCACTCTCCGCTCACCCTCGTCCCCTCTCTCTTCTCTCTCACATCCTTGCTCACCCTCTCCCCTCTCCTCTTCTCCCTCAAACTTTCCTCCCTCCGCCGCTTTTCAACATCTCTCTCGCCGACATCTCTCTTCTCGCTCTCACTCGTCTCTCACTCGGTCACGTGTCCTCTCCCGCTCGCTCTTCTCCTTCTCTCATCTCCGCTCTCACCCTCTCCTCTCTCACTCCCTCGCTTCAACCCATATTCCCCTCTTCTTCTGCCTTTCCTCTCACTCTCGCTCACCGCTCTCCGCCCTCTCTCTTCACCTCTCACATCCTCTTGCTCACGGGCCTCTTCCCTCTTTCTTTCTCCTTTCTCTCCTCTCGCTCAGCCCTCTCCCTGCTCTCTTCTGCACTCTCACTCCTCTTGCACCCCTCTCCCGCTTCTCTTCTCCCTCTCATCCTCTCGCTCACAGGCCTCTCTCCTCTTTCTCTTCTCGCTCTCTGGCTCCCCTCTCCTCTCTCTATCTTCTCGCTGCTGCACTCACCTCTCCCCTTCTCTCTCTTCGTCTCTCTTGCTGCCTGCTCACGGACGCTTTCCCTTTCTCGTCCTGCTCCCTCTCATGACCCCACTTTTTGTCCCCCCCCCCCCTTACTTCTCTCTCTCTACTGTATGTTGTGAACAGGAGGTGAACGCACGCGGCAGGAGCGCCAGGACTGCAGGTGGATAGTGCAGAAGCTGCGGCGCGAGTTCGCGGACCACGAGTCGACGGTAGCAGAGCATCAACGGCGTTCGGCAGGTGCGAGGTGCTGCGCTCTAAAGCTGCGACTTCTGTCATGCGCCAACCCCAGCTGCGCACTAATCGAGGAGATGGTTACGCTGTGGATAGGAGAGGTAGGTTCACCCCTAGCTTTGTGTCGTAACCATGGTAATGGGAGATTTACGCCCTAGCTTATGTCATAAGAACTCAATAACGCTGGTAAAGGGACGAGGTAGGTTTTACCCCCCTAGCTGATATCATAACCCTGGTAAAGGGAGATGGTAGTTTACCCCCTAGCTGAATGTCATAACCCTGGTAAAGGAGAGAGTAGTTTTACTCCCTAGCGAATGGCCTTGTAACCCCTGGTACAAAAGGGAGAGGTACGGTTTACACCCTAGCTTGATGTCATAAACCCTGTAAAGGGAGAGGTAGGTTTTACACCCCTAAGGCTGATACCTGTAACCCTGGTTAAAAGGAGAGGTAGGATTTACAACCTAGCTGATCCTGTAAACTCTGGTAAATGGGAAGAGGTAGGTTTACACCCTAGCTGATTGTCCATAACCTGTAAAGGGATGAGGTAAGGTTTACCCCCTAGCTGATGGTATAACCCTGGTAAAGGGAGAGTAGGTTTACCCCTTAGCAGCTGATTGTCATAAAAGGCGCTGGTAAAGGGAAGAGGTTTAGCCGGCCCATAGCTGATGTCATGACCCTGTAAAGGGAGAGGTAGGTTTTACCGGCTTAACTGATGTCATAACCAGTGGTAAAGGGATAGGTAGGTTTACCCTTAGCTGATGTCATAACCCTGGTAAAGGGAGAGGTAGGTTTACCCTTAGCTGATGTCATAACCAGTGGTAAAGGGATAGGTAGGTTTACCCTCTAGCTGATGTCATAACCAGTGGTAAAGGGATAGGGAGGTTTACCCCCTAGCTGATGTCATAACCCTGGTAAAGGGAGAGGTAGGTTTACCCCTAGCTGATGTCATAACCGTGGTAAAGGGAGAGGTAGGTTTACCCCCTAGCTGATCCTGTAACTCTGGTAAAGGGAGAGGTAGGTTTACACCCTAGCTGATGTCATAACCAGTGGTAAAGGGATAGGTAGGTTTACCCCCAGCTGATCCTGTAACGCTGGTAAAGGGAGAGGTATGTTTACTCCCTAGCTGGTGTCATAACCCTGGTAAAGGGAGAGGTAGGTTTACCCTTAGCTGATGTCATAACCCTGGTAAAGGAATAGGGAGGTTTACCCCCTAGCTGATGTCATAACCCTGGTAAAGGGAGAGGTAGGTTTACCCCCTAACTGATGTCATAACCGTGGTAAAGGGAGAGGTAGGTTTACCCCCCCCCCCCTAACTGATGTCATAACCGTGGTAAAGGGAGAGGTAGGTTTACCCCTAACTGATGTCATAACCGTGGTAAAAGGAGCCTAACCCTAGCCAATTTTGTGACCCTGTTGCAGGGAAAGGTAGATGAACCCTTTAGTTGACATGTGCTCTGATATACATTTATAGTCATCAGTAGTGAGAAATGCACAGCTATACGTGCAGGTTGATATGCGTTGGCACCACGCAACTGGTGACACAGGCAAAGATTGTGCGAGACCTGACGAACGTAGTTTAGAAAACTGGTTACTTGTACAAGTTGTGCAAGTTAGGGGACCGAGTTTAAGACATTACGCACACGAACCACTGCTGTCATTGATGCCAGTACTTGTGTATTGTGATGCCTTGTGCACATTGATGCCAGTACTTGAGCCAGTACATTGATACTGACTGCCAGTACAGTGACTATATGCCAGTGACTACAAAGCCCGGTGCATGTGTGGAATCAACGAAGAGCTGCTGCTGCGTTACTTTTATTTTGTTACGGCAGGCATTCGATGTGCTTGAGGTGGCGACAGACCAGCGCCATCTGGTGGACAGCCTGCTGGGGAAGATGGCCGACATTCCGAGGCTGAGCATGCCCCACCTACTGCAGCTGCAGTCGGAGCTACACGAGCTGCAGAATTCCTTTAGCAAGCAGGTGAGAGAGTCACTGAAGCCACACATCGGTGCTGGTTTAACAAGCCTAATATTCGAAGTTAACCTAGTATTCCTACACGACACAAGGAGCTCTAGAGACAAGGGCAATGTAGTAATAATAATAATAATAATAATAATAATAATAATACAGTGAAGTGAGATTGTTTGTGGCTATTACGGGTTTTACACATGTACATCTTTATTACTAACAGAATTATTATAACTAAACTTACAAATTTATACCACAACATAATCTTCATAGCAATCATCTGCTATGATTCATAGCAGATGATTGTTATGAAGATTATGTTGTGGTAATAAAGATATATAATGATACTCTTAATGTTTCTAATACACATTCTCCTATAAAATACATATATGGTTGTATACAGGGTGTTACTGTTAGCCAGGGAAAAAAATCAGGTAGTCTCACCATCTGAGCGAAGCGAGGATGCTGTGGGCGCGAAGTGCCCTGGGGGGGAGGGCCTTACCTTAAAATGGATGAAATTTAGTCTGAAATGCCAAAAAGACAGGGATCAGATATGATTTTATATTCTTATAAGCACTGTTGTCATTTATACAAGGTGTATAATATATAAAATTGGGCTGCCCTCGTGCCGTCTCTATCAAATTTCATTCGTCTCATCCAAGAATAGGTCGTCCAAAAGACGGTTAGACGGGTCTCTGGCTAACACACTGGTTGTATGTATACACTAGTTCACATCTTTGTCACCTGCTTCTAGGACATTGCTGAAGCAGTAAAGGTACTCCAGGATGCAAGAGTCAAGCAGGGTCGATTCCTCGAGTACATGAGAGAACGTGCGAGTCAGGCTAAGGGACAGATCGATGGACTGAAGCGGCTACGTTCTCTGAGAACACAATTCAACTGATCGTGTACATCTTTCTGTGGAATATAGCCAGTGATAGCAGTATAAACAATAATATACAGTTATACGGTATATCTATCTATCTATATATATATAAACAATAATTATAGCTGAGCTCCATACATTTTTTCATTTTTTTGTCATATAGGATGAGGGAATTTTTTGCTGGACTTCGTGGTCCGGTACCCCCATCCCATAGTGCATTGCAGTTTTTCCATTTTTCCATTGTTTCAGTTGTTCCAATTATTTCAATTGTTGCGCTAGTTCTTTTTAAAATTCATCGGTGTACATTCCATTACAACAACGTTTAGCTTCTGCCTGTCTTGCTAAGAATAACTTTTCCGAATGACGTGGTAAAGAAAAATATGTTATATGACTGAAGAAGCGCTTGAGACAGAAAGAGAAAGGAGCAGAAAAAGGAAAAAAAATATTAAGGATGAAAAAAAAGAATGATTAAGGGAAAGAGACAGAGCTGTGTGTGTGCGTGTGTGTGCGTGTGCGTGTGTGCGTGTGCGTGTGCATGTGCGTGTGTGTTTGAGCGTGTGCGGGTGTATGAAAAGAGACAACTAACACAATTACTAGTTATTGGTCTTATAATGACAAGTAATATAATATCAATTGTCTAAATTATGCTGTTGTGTTTCTCGTTTTCCCATTGATTTTATAACGATCGTTTTTCGCTAGAACGTTGATACCAGAACGCTAAAACGCTAAAACCATCTTTTTCGCTAGAAACCATTTGACGATGCGCACTTTGGAAAATAGACATTATTTGGTCCATAATAATAAAGAATAATATAAGGATAATATAATATATTATATATATCATATAAGGAGAACGAAATGCCCCTAAAATGCAATGTATTCGTAAAAATACCTACTTTTCAAGCAGTGGTAAAAACAAAATAAGTAATGTTATCCGAAGTTGGGCAATTAAGTTTTTCTTCTTTTTATAAAACAAAAACAATACACACATACGATCTGAACAAAACACGAATTGGAAGTTTGGGTGTGTGCGTAGCGTGTTGGATAATTGCTAGTCAGTATAGTCCGGGGTTCAAATTTTGTCAATTATCATAGTAAAATATTTTCTAACTGCTGTTAAGCTAAATATAACACATAGGGCCTACATCTGAGCTGATCATGTAAGGAATGGTATGTTTTGGTCCGTCCGTAGCGTAACGGGCTTGTATTCAATAATCCTGGGTTCAAATCCAGGCAGTTACCAAAGTTAAATATTTTCAGACTCCCGTTGAAAGAAATGTAAATACATTGACCTTGCCCTTGGTAAGGATCCCCAAATGATAATGTAAATATTTTGAAAGTGGTGAAGGCCATGGCCTTGAGCTCAAGGCTATGGCCTTGGCCTACTAATGTAAAACTTTTACAACAAAAAAGTGGGTCAAGGCCATAAAAAGTGGG